TGTACGATGATGCTATCACGATATAAACACAATTCAGAAAAAATTTCTTCGAAACATAATATACTGGAACACGTAGGCATTTATTAAATATCAAACCACTATTTTGAGGTAGTTTAGGTGTAACAGTATTTGTGATAAGTAATTAAATAATAAAAAGATAATAAAAGATGTTGATAAATATTTTTTTATCAATTGTTTAATTTTAACTTGCACAATTATTAATTAATACGTATAATTATTTTTTGTTTATATAAAAGTATAACGGTAATGCAAATTTGTTGAGACTTACAGCAGTTAATTTAATAATTTAGGAGTTCCCGCACTGCTAACGACTTTACTATTCTGAGTCTGGTTGGTATTTCCAGATCTATATTGTATTCATCGCATTTTCGAATGGCATTTTGTGTATCCTTATTTTTGTCTTGAGCAATAAGAATGCTTTTAATAACCTGGCATACAAAAACACCAAGTTTTTTTAAAGTTTCAGTATTTTTTTTTTAACTCTGCTAGATCAGTCACCTTCAGGTGCATTTGCAGTAACTGTTTCCATACTTCGTCAGAAACAAATTCATTTAACTTGTCATATAGTTCCTTTGCGCTATTTTTAATTGGGTTGGATTATTAAATATTATTCATTCATCATTATCTTATGAACCTTTCATTTACTGATCTAAATTCATTTGCCAATTTTACTGCAGCTGTATGGAACGTATAACGATATGTATTATACCATCTACCAACATCCTTGATTAAAGATCCTAACCTTTGATCGGTTTTTGCAATTTTGCAAGTTTGCACAACTAGTTCTTCATATAAAACCGAACTGTTATTCCTAGTTCTAAGGAAGAGTGCCTTGCACTCTTTCTGTAATTGGAACTTAACGTGCTATATAATTTAAAATAAAGTATAATTATTAGAGTGAATCTATTTTGTCACCAGCATTTAGCAATCTGGGTTAGTACGTACTTGGTCAATTTCTGGAAATTTTGATACAGGTTCGTGTGATAGGGTAGGTGTTGAAGTTGCACCAAACACTTCATCTATTCTTGTCATCATCCCGGTTCTAATATTAGTTGCCAAATCTAATATCCTTTTATGGTGCACTATCCGCAAAGCAGTTTGAAATTCATTATCTAGCTTTTCGAATTGTATTAGTAGTTTTGGTAATGAATAATCTGCCAATATTAAAGCAATTTATTTGTATATAACGTTATTATTTATTTATACAAAATATACTAGGTAGAAAAAAATAGAAAAACATATTATCACGTCTATAAACTTAAGGTAATAATGTTACCATTTCCATGATTTGGCAAAGAAATATTATTTTCATGAACTGGCGAAGAAATATCATTTTCGTAAACTGACGAAGAAATATTTCTGTGAGCTGGTGATGAGACATCATTTCCATGAGCTGGTGATGAGACATCATTTCCGTGAGCTGGTGATGTGATATCATTTCCGTGAGCTGGTGGTGAGATATCATCTTCGTAATTGCCATTGTCGCTTTCATTATCTGATAAAGAAACTTGAGAGCCATTATTTTCATGACCTATAAAAGAGGCAGTATCTTCTTCTTCATATCTTTGATTAACAGTTTCATTTCGAGATAATGTTTCGTGAGATGGCTGCTTTTTTTTTGTAGGTACATTATTAGTATTTAACTATTTTTCGTTGTATTTTTTAAAAACTAAACTTACAATAGGTTTTCGTATTTTATTTGGAACTGAGGAACTTGTAGCTTGTTTGTCTAGTTTATGTTTTTGTGCTCTCTTGAGAGCTGAATTTGTAGCTTCATTATCTGAACTGTTAATAAGCAAGATAATAAGCTAAATAATATATGAAAATAAACAATAATCATATGCAACATACCTGTTTGCTTTTCAGCTGTAGTTGCTTTTAGTTCCTTTAAAATATATATTAAAAAAGCCATATGACAGTGTCATCTACTAAAAAACAAATCATCAAGTATCTTTTAAAAAAACTTTAACTTACTAAATATTCATTTAGTGTTAGGCATATTTGACTTGAAGTTCGATAATAATCTTTTGATACACTTTACTGTTTCTTTATCGACTTACTTTTTATGTACGTACGTTCAATTACTATTACATAATAGATCTTCCTGCATCAAGTACTATTACATAATAGATCGCTTCCAGCATCTGTCAAAATAACAAATAAACTATATCTATGTTACTATATCTATGTTACTATTTACTATTTTTGTATGCCATTTCATGATAATCAATAGGAACGCACATATGTACGTACGTATTAATTTTCCGACGGTTGGCAAGCCATTTAGCTAATATCATACCATGTAAAAATTTACTTACTAATAATTGCTAAGTCATCACCCTGGTTAAGGGTTTGGCGAAAAAATGGCCATCGGGAAGTTGAGCAACGTAATTTAAACAAATTATACAAAATCTCTTCGGCTCCGATAAGAGCTGAAAAAATCCAAAAAAATATTTCATTATTTCGGGGAATAAATAGTATTTATTTAAAAAGTATAATTAATTATTAATGTGTATTATGTAATAAATAACGAGTAAATAAAGCAGACGGGATCAATCAAACGATCTTGTTAATATCTACTATACTCGATCAATAGACAAAGACATGGCATTACTAAAAAATGAAATGTTTGAACAGAACCACCCATACATATATATCGATGCCAAAATTACGTATTAAGTCGAAAAAAACAAAATATGAAGAAATAAAAAAAACTTTAGTATCTGATGAAGCTTTGGGACATGATAATGTAGAAAATATTGATTTGCCCTCTGAAGCAATTTTAAATGAAGAAACCAAGAGTTTTTCAACTGCCAGTTATACCTCATCAGACGAAGTAAGTATCTAAAAAAGATTTAGAAACTAAAATTGTTTATAGAATATTAATACAAAATTTCATTTTAAGAAGTCACAAAAAATAATAGATTATGCAACTATTAATAATTACCAATCTTTTTGTGGGCCATTAGCCGACGATATAGACGTTTCGGTTGACTATGGCATGAACTCATCAGATGACGAAGTTCCAGTAGATAGTGAAGAATTTGATGTTACTGAAGTTTTAGTAGACGATGTGCTGGAAGATAGTGATGAATTGAATTTTACAGATGATGTGTTAGAAGATATGACTATCGAATTTGAGGGGTTTAATAGTGAATATGGTCCATATTTTCCTAATTTTATATCAGTGATGATCTTTGTTTGGATAACTAAACATATGATTTGTGAGTAACGCTAGTTAAAATTTTAAAAATTGTATTGAATGGTATCTTTTGAATACTATTCAAATATGCCATTCGAGATTATTATGTAATTTTACAGACATTCATGTCTGTGAAATCACAATAATCTCGAATGGCATATCTGAATAGCATTCAGTTCTCAATAAAATTATCCTATCAATTTACATATATGTGCAATACTTTACTGGTTTTAGCGACCTCTGCATATGAT